TTCAAGGATGGCTCCCTGACTGTGGGCATGCCATGACCTGGGAAGCTGAGCTAGACCCAGGTCTCACTATAGAACACACTGATCGCTTCTCGGCCTTTTGGCTAAGATCAAGTATATAACACACTGGAATTTTATAAGACTTCTTCAAGCTGTTGGTTCATTGGGCATATGACATTGGCCTTGGATGAGGCTTCCTGGCAACAAATCCAAGCTGAAATAGGAATCTACACTTTACAGCCCACTGTGAAATGTACATGGACCCATAGCCCAGATGCCTAAAGGCCATTGGGAAGGGAGGAAGCGGAAGCAAGGAAACTCTTAGCAACGCATTGAAAACACGTATCCAAACTGGCAGTACTTTGGGCTGAGGTTGGATGTGGGAAGGGCTATTGAACATCATCTCAGGTCAGTAAAATATGTCAGAGGAGCAGCATGTTAGAAGCCTATTTTCAAAGCTGTTTTAAATTTTTTTGTTATTGATAGATTTTCACTAAAAAAAAGTGAAGTGTTGGTCCTTTTATGAGGCTACTTGGAGTGTGCTTCTGGGCTACAGCTGTCATTGATACCTAAATATCTTCACACATCTAATAACTCTGACCCTTTCAGAAGCTGCACCTCCTATGCCCAAGGGAAGGTGGGATCTAAAAAGGGAGTCTTGGTATCCTCCAGGGCTGTGGTTTTTTCAACTTGGTCCCACATTGGGATCCTGTAGGGGATAGTACAGAAATACAGATTTCTGAACCCCATTCCAGACCAATTTAATCAGTGTTTGGGAGAGCCCCAGGATACTGTATGTCTTTTTTTTTTTTTTAAAGATTTATTTATTTATGCGTACAAGAGCAGGGGTATAGGCCAAAAGTGTTGGGGGTGAGAGAGTCACCAGAGACAGAGCCGGGAACAGAATAGTCAGACGGAAGTACACTGCAGAGGGGAGCAGCGGGTGAGACAGGAGAGGTCTGCTGCGCCATGTGGATAGCTCCCTGGCTGGGGATCGAACTGGTGCTTCAGAGGCTGAGGACAGCTTCACAGGATGCATCTTAACCCTTGCGCCACCAGGGAGGCCTGACACTGTATGTCTCAATACCTCTCTAGGTGCTGTGTAGCCGGGGTTGAGAAGCATCAAGCTAGGCTTTTTTACCTATGAAGAAGGTGAGGCCCAGAGAGATGTCTTCCCCAAATCATGTAGCTAGTCAGTGTCAATACCAGATTCTTATTTAGCCCTCTTATCTTTATGTTGCTTCTCTTCATTGTGGTTTTGCCATAAATCTAAAGCACATTTCAAAATGCACATTTGCAAAGTACCTTTAAGAAATAGATTTCATTTTAAGGCAAACAGTGATTTACTCACTGATGCTTTTCTACATGATCTTCTGATATGTGTGAAATGTGAAAATGTTTATTGGGTCAGTGAAGTCAAATATGGGCTCATTTTGCTGCTTCTCTATTGTGAGTCTAGCATGCTGGCACTGTTTCTCCTCCGGAAACCTTACACACCACTCTGATTCATTTTGTTAATGGAAAACACTCTCCATGAACCTCTAGCTGGTGATACAGATCTACCAGAGAAACATTTTTTTTTTGCAGAACTCACTTCATTTGGGGACCATGTGTCCCAGAGAGTTATTATTTTTGGCAAAGGACATAAGCAGCCACATATGCCAGTGTCACCCTACAAGACATCTGGTTATCCACTAAACAACTGCATTGACTATTGGCAGTCAGCCATGAAAATGTAACTTTTTTTGGTCTAGTTCACCATATTTGCAACATTGCAACTAAAATTGATAGCAAGGCTTACCAACAATCCCATTGATCACATTTCACGAAGAAGATGTTAAGGTCTGTATATGGAAAAATTGAATTTCTTTTGTGTTAAAAAAGAAAGGAATGATCCATGATATAAATTTCAAGGCATTTGGAGAAACCGCCTTATCTTGACTCATGATCTGAAGACTTTGGCCATATTTAATTCACCTGGGGGGGTTAAGTAAACACTGTTGCCTGGGCCCTGCTTCAGAGGTTCTGATGTGACTGGTCTGAGGTGGGGCTGGATCTTGAACATTTTCAAACGCTCCTCAGCTGAGTCTCCTGCGAAGCTAGGTTGAGAATCACAGCACCTAAATATAAAACAGGGCTCTGAGCTTTGGGTTTTTTGCTGTGACCTTAGTGCTATAGCAATTTCAGTTCATTTTATTTATTCAACAAATTTATGTTTAGGAGGGAAAGTATTTTTGAAACACTTTCAAAGCTAGTTTTTCTCTTAATAGTTCATATACTTTCTTCTTCACCTTTGCAACCTCATTATGGCTGAAGTAGAAGTTTATCACCCCTGCTACCAAGAATGGTAATTTGCAATCCTAGATGCCCTTTTAGAACCATTTGGAAAACCTTTAAGAATTGATGGTGCCTGGGATTCACTCCAGGCTAATTAAACGAGAACTTGGGGCATGGGCCCAGGGATTACTATGAAAGTACTTCAGGTATAACACTTTTTTATTATGCAGTTGAGGTTGAGAATGATGGATCTGGTAAGAAACTGATGACTTGTCGACTTGAAATGAGATTCTTCTTTCTTCAAATCTTGAGTATTACAACTCAACCCTTTGATGTTTAAAGGAAATTATCTACTTATCTGTAGTTGGAAGAGACACAAGTTAGTTATATTATTGATAGTGTGATTTTTAAAAATTTAATCTAATGAATACTTATTGAGAACCTATTTGTGTAAGAAAATTGATTAAAAACCCCTCCTGGGAAATTTTTGTTTGTATATTTTAATCAGAAAGGATTCCAGGGTGGATACATGGGAAAGAAATGACACAGTCAATGGTGATGCTGCATGGGTGCTTTGGGAAAGGAAATTCTAAGGGGACTCAATCTGAGGGGGTGGGGGGAAGCAATTATTGTCTCAAAAAGGTAAAAAATGATGAATGTTAAAATAAAAAAAATCTAAAAAAAAAGACACAAAGTGGATAACTGAATAGGAATTAATAAAGTGATTGTTTATCATGATATAGGCAGGGTTTAGGGAAACTGATAAGGAAAGGTGCCATCTGCTAGACCTGATTGGTAATGGTGGATGCCATCAGCATTCCCAGGCACCAAGGGCTCCTCAGACTACGTGTGTGGGGAAACAGTGTACTTGAGAGGATGTAGCCTGTCCTCAGGGACCCTTTCTGTGCTGCAATTCCTTAAATAATGTCATTTAGTTCAAGATCATTTCAATATAATGTTGAGAAAACAATAGTTGATGTTGAACAAAATAACATTATTTGAGGACCCTTCTTTCCTTATGTGTCATCTCCTTTAAAGTCGTTGGCGAGGGTGTGGAGAAAAAGGAACTCTTCTGCACTGTTGGTGGGAGTGCAAACTGGTCCAACCACTATGGAGAGCTGTGTGGAGATTTCTGGACCTACTAAACATAGAGCTTCCATATGATCCAGCAATTCCACTCCTAGGTATTTACCCAAAGGACACAGAAACATCAATTCCAAAGAGCACCTGCACCCCTATGTTTATAGCAGCACTGTTTACAATAGCTAAGCTTTGGAAACAGCCCAAATGCCCAAAAATAGATGACTGGATCAAGAAGATGTGGTACATATACACCATGGAATATTACTCAGCATTCAAAAAAGATAAACACATGCAATTTGCAGCAACATGGATGGCGCTGGAAGAGATCATGCTCAGCGAAATAAGCCAAAAAGAAAAAGAAAAATACTGGATGGTCTCACTCATAGCAGGAATCTAGAAAACTTAAATAAGGGACCAGGAAAATGAATAACTATAAGAAAGTGAAAATCAAAATCAACAAAAAACTATGAACCAGAGACACTTTTTGGGGGGCGGGGGGTGGGAGGGGAGGGATTGGGGTCAGAATGGGGGGGCTGCAATTGTATGGGGAATATAAAAATAAAATTATTTAAAAAAAAAACCTAGGTATATACGTTTTCAAAAAAATAAAAAATAAAAAAATAAAGTCGTTGGGCCTCCCTAGTGGCACAAGGGATTAAGCACCACACTATGAAGCAGTCCACAGCCTCTGCAACATGAGTTCGATCCCCAGCCGACAGGGGAGAAACCCATACAGTGCAGCAGAACTCTCCTGTCTCACCCACTGCTCCTTCAGCAGTGTATTTCGGTCAATCTTGCCTGGTCTGTTCCCTGCTCTGTTTCTGGTGGATCCTTTCACCCCCCACATCTCTGGCTTGTACCCCAGCACTTGTATGCATAGATAAATGGATCTTTAAAAAAATAAATAAAATAAAATCATTAGCATGCATTGCAGCCAACACTATATGGCATGCCAGCTTTTGAGAAAAGAGCTTCAGTGCAAGGTTGAATGGCAAGGAGGTAAGAGGCAAGGCTCACATCTAACTAACTGGGGGCTAAAACTGCTTTTACACTGCTCAGGGGGGAAGAAGCTAGGGATGGCTTGGCAAAACTTCATTGGTTAGACACTAACTGGATCTTCCTTGTTAATGGATCCTTTTCTTTTGCAAGGTGTCACCTATTAGCACATGCTTATCTTGCAGTTTTGCTAAGTTGCATTTGTAGAGAATTTGCAGTTTAGCTGCATCCATGGAAAAGGAGCTTAAAATGGAAGTTAGAGAAGTTGAATGACAACAGTCGTCATGTAGTCTAATGGTCTGAGTGCAGATTGATAGGTTTCAGTTGTTTCCAAGACCCTATGATGACATTAAGTGAGAACTTCCTATATAAAGTAGTTCTAGTTGAGTTCTTGTGTCATACAGCCAAGAGGCCTAAGTAACATGGAACCTGGCACAGGGGGTGAGAGATACAAGCATGAGAACTACATTTGGGGACTGGATAAATGAAGGTGGAAGTAGTGAGAGGCTCCTAATTCTGGTTGGGAAAGTTGTAATCCAAACGTTTAACTGCTGCCTCAGTCTCTTGGGATTTTGCCTATAAGGTTCACCAATGCTGGAATTTCTAGCAGCTGCTCAGAAAATGTCATTTATACATTTATTCATCAGTGAAATCAAGAAGTACTTACTGAATGACCATCAAGTGCGAGGCACTGTTCTCAGGTGATCAAGTTTGACTTCTTGCAACAAAATTGAAGCAGCAATGGAAAAGCAGAAACAGACTGCATTTCACTCATCTGGCCCCAAATAAACATCAAGCAAACACCAGAAGGTAACTGTAGGGTGAGTAAAAGTGTCAGGTTTTTCTGCCCTCCTGCCATTGGTGATGGATCCCTGCGGTCCTGAATGCATGCCTGATGGCGGACACCTGGAGTAGGGTGTGGGCATGCGTAGATGGGGTACACATGGGCCAAGAGACTGGACATATAAGGCCAGGGCGGCAGAGGAGCGACGTGGTGTGGAGTGCAGCGGAGTGAGGCTTGTGGAAGAGTGCAGCTGAGTACAGCACTGTCTGCAGGAGTGTGATAGCGAGCAGCATGAAAACACCAACAGGTCTGCTTGAGCTGTGATGAACCTACCCGGTATGGGATGGTTGCATTACAGTAAAGTAAAAAAACAACATGCTTTAGTGATTAGATCATTGCCTTAAATCCATGTCTTAAAAGTACTTTATAAATGTACATTTTGAATTACGCTTTTGATTTACAGTAAAGCTACAATAAAGAGGAGCAACTTCAGGTTGAATAGCAGTGATTAAAGAAATTGGCTTTGACACTAAGTAAGTATGTAGTATCCTAACGTTATTTTGGAAGTTCCTGTTCATTTTCCTAGATATAGAAACATTTGAGTTGAGCACTAAAGAAATTAATGAGAGGGAAGAGACTTTCTTTTTAGCTAGGGATAGAATCAGGGAGAGACTTTAATTATTCAACATACATTGGATCCCTATTGTAGGGTAAATGGATTGATCAGGCTTATGGCGTCACTAGCCTCTGTTGCTATCACCTGAGGCCTTGATCATGTGAAGGCAGAAGGCGCTTGGGAGCGTGGCACGCATACCTGATGGTGGCCACCTGGAGCATGGGCGTGGGCATGCGGAAGCATGCATACCTGAGCCTAGATGCCAGTGATATCAGGGCAGCGTCACTTAGACAGGGGACAGCTAAGAGAGGTGTGACTACAGAAGAGGTAAAACCATGAGAGAACGCCAAAGAACCCAGGGAGAGAGCATAAAGATTTGCTGGGGACTGGGGAGCTTGCCAGCCTCCCAGCCCCCAGCCTGCCCGCTCTGTGTCTGGTTGCCCCACTACACCTATCATGTGCAGACACAATGCTAGGTGGCAGGGATCCCAAAATAATGATCATGATTTCATGGTTACTCAAGTGAACACAGCAAGGTAAATAGTGACATTGTTTACCTGGAGGTTGCAGGGTAATCCCTTGGAATCTCTTGAAAGTGGTTGTTGTTTTAAAGAGGATTTGATTACCTGCCAAATTCTAGCCTGAATATCTGCACATGTGCTGGGGTGAGTGCATACTCATTTTTCATATAGAGAGGATTCTCTTTTGGGATGGCATGGGAAAGAAGGAGTTCTTAATAAAACTTAATTTTTTAATTAAGAACGATAGTTCCTAATTTTTTTTGGATGCAGATATAAACAGACCCAATGCAACACAGACTGGGGAGGAAAGAAAATATAAGGTCTGAACTATCTGCTCTCTTTTGGCTCAGGATGTCAGCAGGATGTTGCAGTTTCAGGATGAGTCCTAGAGTCCAGTCAGATGACTTAAATGACTCCTAGAACAGGGATCTGTTTACATATGAGTTTCCCAGCATCTTTTGGGGCTACCTTGAAACAAATGGATTCAGCATCAGGGGTTTCTTGACAGCTTGGTCTTACTTTGCTAACATCCAGAACCTTTGCTGAAATCTTTGCACACCAAGAGTTAAACCAAAGTCCAGAAAGAGGCAAGTGTCTAGGAAAATTGAGGATATATTTTTCTTAATAGTTGTTTTTAGGGAAATAGATGATCCCACCTTCTTTATTCTACTGTGATGTGGGTGGAGTCCTTGCGAAAACATTTGGAAGCCTGAGAGGTTAAAATGCTCCTCTGTGCCTCTGTCATGATGTACATGCTTTCAGTCCTGACTTTTAGTAAATGACCTTTAGCTGAGATGTGGTAGTCTGTGGCTCTTATATTTGACAACTATGGAGATTCATTCGAAACAGAGCAACAGTTACAGGTTCAAAGGGCAGCCAGCGGCTCATGCTCATTTTTTGTGAAGGGGGAACGGTCCCTTGGGAGGGGATATTGTCTTGTCCACCTTTAGCAGGAACCATAGACTATGTAGGGCACATGAAGTGAATCAGGCTTTTTTACACCCTCCCTCCACTAGCCTCTATGACCTGCACCTGCAGTCTAGCACGCCTCCCTGTTGCAAAGAGCATGGGTCTGCGCATGTGTAAATGTGCAAACCTGGGCCTAGAAGGATTAAAAGGGCGGCATTATTCTACTACAAGACAAGATGACATGAGACCGAGAAGGAGAATTCCAGAGAAACTGAGTATATTTTTGGGGGTGTCGAGGGGCTTGGTTTCCTCCCAGCACCTCCTGCCTCATCCATGCCTGCCTTCTTACATGCCAGCGTCCCTGCCTGGTGTGCCTGTGTACCTGGTTCCCTGCTCCAATTTAAAGGACTGTAAAAATCCACTGAAGGTTCCAGGATTCCTTTACCCGTCTGCCCGAATCCACAGTGAACCTGCCCACGCTAAGCATGCTTGCACTAGACTAACCAGGTCCCCAGAAGGGAGCACTGACATTTATTTAAGGACATTACAGAGTTACCTTTGGAGGGCAATTTTGAAAGATATTGGAAAGGAGTAGGGAGAGATTCTTTATAACCTGGGAGTTTGGTGCTAGCTTATTCCCATGTACCGGGGCATCTAGTTATTGTGGTTGGATGACCCTCAAATGTCACAAGTTTTCTTTCTGAATGTACTTAGGATGACTTTGGTGCACTAGCATGGCCTCATGGGCATGGGCAGATGAAGAGTGACCATCCCTTTCAAGGTCATCCTAGCATCTCTAACCCCACAGTTGTCAAGTCTCTGACCTGTTCTAATGCTGGCATTTACCGTGAACTTCAGGTGACCTATGTGTAGATTATGTAAAAAGGACAGAAAGCAACGGCCTTTTGGCTCTAAGATCAGAGTTCAGTGAGCTCTCGGTAATGACACTTTGATCTCCAGGCCCCTGCCTGTCTAAATCTATAGTGTCTGTCAACTCACTTTGCCCTGTTCTTGACCTTTTGGTTGCTTGGACCTGTGGTCACTGCCAAGACTCTAATCCCTCAGCATGTCACCTCTGGCAAAAATAAAATAAACAGACATTTTAAATTCTGTTCTGACCCTTTACAAAGGCTTTTAATATGAAGACTTATCAAAAACCAAACAAACACGAAAAACAAGAGGGCAAAGAAGTGGTATTAAGAAGAAATTTCAAATAAATTATAGGCTCAGTAATATAGGACTTGGTTACAACTGCTTGGCCAGAGTTTTCTGGAAGTCATTGGAGTCATAACAATTCTAGGAGAGCTGGGTGAAATGGAGAGTGTTTGCTGCCACTCTTGCATTGGGGTAGATAACCTTCAGCCATCAGATTCCTACCTCTTGTCCTCTTGGGGGGGGGTTAGCATGCTTTCCTCTGATTTTCTCATTTTGATATTTCATCAAGCTGGCAGCTTAAATGTGCTGTAATGTCCAATTAGAATGTTTGGTACTTAATTTAAAAATCTCTTCCCTACTCTTCGTCAGTGTTGGTGATTTGTCTATGGATCCTTTCCAGGTGTGCACATGGTTCTCACAATGTGGTGGACCAGTGTGGACATGATACTTTCATGAGGTCTGACTCTCTAGGATCCTGGAACCACTGGTTGAAGGGTCAGGAAGACCCTGGTTCCTTGCCTGCCAGAAACCAGTTGTTGGACCTTAGAAAAAATCCTTCCCTTGTTAGGGTCTTCATTTCCTCATCTCTGTAGTGAGGGAATGAGATCACATGCTCACTAAGATTTCTGCCAGGTCTGGCCCTCATCTTTAATCATTTCGTTAAAAACACCATGTCTCAAACAATGAATCTGTGTTTAGCATCTAATATGTAGCACAATAAATATTGGTCAAATGGAATTAAATCATAGGGATGTCCAGTGAAGGTAGAGCTCAGCATGCTCTAAAGCTTTTAATCTCCTCGGTACCCTCTCTCCCTCCCAGGTGAGATATCGCTTCTGTAGAAATAGGAGACAGGATGCAGTGAAATGAATGTGACATTTTTCACAAGGCATAGCAGGCACCCAACAAGGTCTCAGGCTCTACAGACAACAAGGCTCCACCTGCTTCTGCTCACTTCTTTGTTGCCATAGCCAATCTATTAAAATGCTTCTGCGATTCTAGAAAGAAAACAAGTGCCTGTGAGGAAGAGGTTATAAATATAGTCAATTATAAATAGATCCAATTAAAAATAGATATTGACAAGGGCTCCAGACAGAGTTGGCCTGACAAACTGCGCTGAAGAGAAAAAAGTAGCCTGTTATGCAGAAAGCAGTAAGACTTTCTTAAATGATTCTTCAGTAATAACTCTGGGTTTGTATATGCCTCTTAATGAGCTACTTAGTAGTATAGGATGGCCAAAGGAGGATTTAGCTTAAAAGGTGCGGGAAGGGTAGAATTAGGACCAAATAACTATTTTTTTTTCCTTGTTGTGTAAGACAGGTCTTATACAAAAACCCAGGAATGGATTGGCTGTGACAGTGTTACTGGGAAGGCTGGGCTGACTATCTAAAGAGAGAGGATTGGGGTTCCTAACACCCTCAGTCTTGCAGGGTGTGGCAGCTCTCAGTATAGCCTTTGGTCATTTTGTGGGATGGTTTAAAGAGTCCCCTCATATATTACCTCATTTAATTGTTCATGCAAACCTGAGGCTCAAAATAAGTTCTTTGGTTTCTCTAAGGTCACCCAATAGGATATACTAGCCCCGGGGTGGAAGTCCAGGTCCTCTGACCCCAGATTTCCCTGCCACAGCCCCAGGGACTTACTTGTGGCTGCTCTGGTTTATCACATACAAGGACTCTGAAGTCTCTGGGTTCTTGCTGAGCCACTGGGGCATTTGAGGGGACTGTTTTTAAAAAATGTGTTTATTTATATATATTTTGCATCATTGTTCATTTTTAAACAATGTTTGCTTTCCCCATCTCCCCCAAAGGAAAAAGAAAAGTATCAGATGGTTTC